GCAGCCAGAGATGGCTGCTGCCCCAGGATCTCAGCTCACCCTATAAGGTGCCTTCCCCCACTACAGAAATACCCCTCATGCTAATCTAAGCCTCGCAGGTCTCATCCCCTCCTCATCTCCCTGCTCTCCAACTCTCTGTGGCAGCAAAGGTCAGCTTTTTTTTGCTCGAGGAGGGGGGACAGGCTGCATCGATGAGGACAGTCCTCTACAATGGCCTTGCAGGCAGCACTCCCAATTCCACAACTAAACAGATGGCTCAGCATCATGGTATGATTTGGCACTGGCCAAGCCAGCCCTATAGGAATGGGGTCTTCCCAGGTGCACAGAAACCTTTGGTAAGCTGATCATTCAAATAGCAAGCAGCAAATTAAGAACAACAAAACTAGCCCTCCAGAAAACTAAATTGAATCAACAGCAGTAGTGGTTTTGAGAGCTGAACCCTGGTGTTTCTGAAATGCCTGAGGCTGGGAGCTACATCTTGCCTCCAAGTCCAAAGAAGATGGATGCCAGTAAGGCAGAAGTCCCATTGCCTCCCTCCCCTTTTATCCTACCCACAGAACAAAAAATTATGGACCAGTTAACTCAATTACGTCCTTGAATAGTCCTTGTAATACGCTGCTTTTAATGTATCACATCTTGCATTGCTGCTATCCCTTTTCCCCACTATCATGACTTTAAAGTTGTTCTGGTATGCAATAACAAATTTATGCGGAAGCTTTGACTTTTGATGTGCCATACTCTTTTGCACATCTCCTCCCTCTTCTCCAAACGGCCTTCCCAACAAAAGGAGAAAGGAAAATACAGTGGCAATGAAAAAGTCCCAGTCACTCTCAAATTTTTTTTTTAAATCTTTCTTTTTTTAATGTAGCTTTGCCTTTGGGTTTTGGGGGGCGGTTTGTTGTTGTTTGGGGTTTTTTGTTGTTGTTCTTTTTTTAAACTTCTGTTTTTTCTGGATAAAAACAACAATTTAGGGATTTGGGTTGGTTTGTGCTTTTTTTTTTTTTTTTTTAATAAGCAGTCAGGAACGATCAAGGGTGAAAGGACCTTCTTTCACTGCTTCCAGCAAGCTCCTGCTTGCTGAGGTTCCCCAGCATTTGGATCCTCAACTCCTACACTGGAGAACTCCAGTCTTGAACCCTTCGTCCATTTTCCTGTAGCTAATTCCTTATGCCAGTGGCAAGGGTTTTCTGGAAGAATGCATTTTTACCAGGTTTCTTAATAAATCTGTTCTTTTTTCACAGCACAAAGCTTTTACTATCACTAGAGGTGCCTGGGCTGTGCGAGGCCCTTGGACACAGAGTGCAGACTAAGCATAAGGCTGGGTAAGGAAGGGACTGGCATCTGGAGAAGATTAAACAGCATGCAATGAGATGAAAGTTATTTTGGCATTCCCCTCTCACATAGACAAGACCCATCACATTTACAGCACCTTCAGTGTGCACCTGCAATGTGATAGTATCAATGAGAGAGGGGAAAACATTAATTAAACTTTTGGTGGTTTTATATCTTGCTTTGCATCAGCTGTACAGAGTAGATGCAGTGTTGGACAAAGCAGACGTCCAATTTCCCTTGCCATTCTCACCCCAACAGGCTGTCCATAGTCATGTACAAGACTAGGTCTTTTATAATTATTAACAAAATATTTAAAAAAATAACAACTAATTAAATAACTATCACTTGACAAGCTACCCACTTGACAAATCTGAGATATGTTCTGGATAAGCCCTCAATGACAGTCCAAGGCAGTGGAGGTTCTTTCTGTTAAGTTTACCTATAGGTAGACAACATTCCCCAAATCTCCCCTGCTCCTTGCCTCTCTTCTCTCCCTCTCCACCTACTGCTATGGTGACATTTTATCTGGGACCCTCAACCAAAAGCCAGCACATTTCACCAAACACAAAGAAACAAATCACAAACAATACTTTCATTTTGGTATTACCTACATTTCAGCCTCAAAGTCCTTTACACTGATCTGCTAATCGTATATAATATTGACTTCTCAAGAAGGAAGATTATGTTAATCAGGATTTCTGAAGGACTTACACATGATCCTGTATTTACTTCTGAACTTCATCAGAGTGACAAAAGGAGTATGTCACCACCACGCTGCTGCTACATTTTCTCTGGATTACAAGTCAAACATCACCACTGTCTGAATCTATAACCACCAAAATGTGTCTCTAGCAGGCAAACCCAGATCATCTTTTCCTCACAGATGAAAGGGTAACTGCAACCATCTATTGGGAGCTTCTGAAAAGCACAAACTGGAGTGCCTCCATCCAGTAATTATTCTGTAACACCCACTGTTTAAACATCTTTCAATTTTCCAAATCAAGTGTATGAACTAAGTCTGAGGAAGGATGTTCATATCTTCAAGAAGCATCTAAATAAAACCAGTAATTTCAAGAAGTACTAAATATATTGACTAGAGAGGTAAGACCCACAAAATACATAGAAATGGAGCATCTCAAAGCTATCCCAAAAAGCAGTAAGAAAAGCATATACAAGATGTGAAACTGGAAGAATCTATTTTTATTTTAAATTGACTAACAACTTCATGTGAATTGTACTACATTTTATTTCAGCATATGGTATGCTGTGTTATATTTAATGGAAGGCCCCTACTTTTATTTTAAGCTAGGGCTTTAAACTGAATTACCACATACAATGTACAGAGAAGGGTTTTGGTTCAGTGGCTTAAAATCTATACAAGGGAGATTGCAAGTCTGCAACAATCCTTGAGTTTCCATATGTCGACATAATCAGGAACATGATGCTGCAACATTACCCAGATGGAGAACGTTCTGTTTTAGTCAGCTGAAGCATCAGTGTGTTTATGGGACCCCTAGGAAACTACAAGTGAAGTTTGTACCCCTGGTAAAATCCCACAGTAGCCAGTCCTTCCCTTTTCCAAGGCTGCCCAGCAAATCTTTGCCCATTCCCTTTCAGAAAGCAGCAGACTTTCCAGTTTGGATGCCATCTCCCTGTCCAGCAGATGTGTATCAGAGCCGCGTGGGAACTGCCTGGCTTCCAAGCAAGCCAGCAGCTTGCACAAAAGGCAAGAGCATGCGTGTCCTGGGCCTTAGGCACCTCGACAAAAGCTGTAGGTTGCCAAGCACTTTGTGAGCAGTTTCAGGTTCATGTGATCAGATTCCACAACACCCACAGACTCACTGGAAAAAAACTGCAGATGCAAAAAAATATTATTGTGTGGGCCTTATCTACTGCAGAAGAGGAAAAACTGCAGCTGGTGCGTAAACCGACCCTGTGCAAGTCACAGAGTTCATTTCCAAAAAAGACTAAAAGGAAAAAAAAATTAAAAAATCAAGAGAATATGGGATTTCTTTCTAAATTTAAAGGAAGGATCCAAGCAAGGGGTTGTTTTGTTACTGATTTGCATTCCAGTTGTGCAGAACAGAGTTTAGAATAAAAGTGCAAAAGATAGTCTGCACCATACTCACGTAGCCATCCTGGGGAGAGTCCACATCACCTCACTCCAGATATACAGGGATATACTTCATCCACAGATGCACTTTTGCAGATCAGCACAATCCACTCCCCCAAAAGGACCCAAACTACACGGATGGATAGTACAAGATTGCAGAATGCCAAGGGGAGAAACAGCCAATGCAGACCTGTTCTAGGATATTTCTATGCCACACACAGCCCCACAACTTGATTTTTTTTTCTATACCCAGCCCCTCCAAATTTAGCCTGTTCATCACTGGGAAAAAACATCTGCTCCAAATAACTCTACCCACACTATATAGAAAGGTTTGGTTTCTGTAGCTCTGTGGATTCTGAAATATAAAGAAAAAGTAAAATACTAACTTTCCTGACAAAAGGAGGAAAACATTAAAACATAATACGAGTTCATTACTGGTCTCTTCCCACTTGCTCAGTATGGTGAGCTCAGCACCACAAGGAACTCCTTCAGAAGAAGTTACTTACAAGTATTATTTTTTACCTATCCAGTGACTCCACCACAGACACAGAGCTGTTGACATGTTTCTTTTAAGAACTACAAACCAGGAAAGGTTGATGGTTTCAACTTCTGAATTTGCCATTGCTAAATTTAAACCCAACAGCCTTGTTAAAGATTATTACATAAACCCAAATGCTTATCCCCCTGCACGATAGTTACTTTTGACCTAACTAAGCTTAAACCACATTTCTTGGCCCGCTTTCTGCTGCCAGCTGAAAGGAAGCAAATACCCAAGAAGAGAGGATTAAAGGAGATAGGGGAATACTTGACAACAGAGAAGAGAAGGATACAGATTTGCTGCTTCTCTGTACCATGTTACTATTTCAAGTTTATTCTGAGATAGGTAAATCAGGTGAGGGACATTTGATCACACAAGCACATGGGCTCTATCTGCAAGCCACCTTCATAACAACTGCGGTGCTGCTGAGTCCTGCTATAGATAGGTTTAAAGAAAGCTCCCACTTGCCTGCATGTTCTTCCCACAACTCAGAAGAGGCACTAGACAGAGAAGCAAAGGCTCACAGCACCACAGATTTATTTACAACACACTACACACAGGCAGAGCAGCGAGCAACAGCAAATTAAAAACAAGGATAAGCTCCTTTCCACAAAATGGCAACTATCCTCTCACAAGCAGGCAAGGAGATAACAAAGGGAAAACAAAGAGGAGAATTTCAGAAATTCAGGTGATTTTTCTTTTCTTTCTACACAGCTACTTTGGCAGCCCAAAAATGAACACAGTAGACCCTGTAGCTGCTTCTACATTCTCTCTTTCCCCCAGTATCAAAAGAATCAGTCACAGTCAGAATCATTCAGCATTGGTTTAGGTTTATGTGCACTCAGATGCACTAATGTATTTTGACACAAACTAATATTTTGTGGAATCATACTTTTTTTTCCTTTACAGTCATCTATTAAACATGTTTCCTGTACTCAGGGAAGGATTACATTACAATGTACTTGCAACCAATGTAGCAGAGGGGGGAGCATCACTGACCAAATTCCATTAATTTATTTTACCTGCAGATTTATTGTAAAACCTGTGAAGCATTGAACAAGTATGTCCACTAGATAGATGCAACATCAGGATCTCAATATTCCTTGAGCCAGGCCAAGCCAAAACTAAACCACACAGAAACCCTAAGAAACTAGTGATAAACTGAACTGTAGTGCAGTAGCTTAATTAAGCCATAGTAAAAAGACACATTTGGGGTTGATAATTTTGCTTTGTTTGTTTTCACTCTCCCATATACATTATAGATGTATTGCAGAAAGTACAGAACTGAGTAGACTGTGGTATGCCAAGACATAATGCCGGTGGGGAGCAGAAACCTCTGATCCAACTTATCAAAGGACAAAAATCCGTGATTATGGTTGGTCAAAACTAGCTGTTCCCTGAAAACAGGTACCTGTGTACTGGTGTCTGGCAAAGCTATGTTGAATCACCACTCAGCAAATCTAGAGCGCATGCCTGGCAGGGCTGAAATTACTTGACCTCTCATTTTCACTTCTGTCCAACATTATGCAATCTTTTTGCTACTGCAGTAATAAGGGCAGCTCCCTTCCCACTTCCATCTTCAGAAAGCATGAAAGTCACATCGCACTGAGGTGCCAGTTCCTTCACTGTTTCCTGTAGGACCCTAGAAAAACTGAAAGGAAAAGGAGAAGAACAGAACATTTTAGCAGCCACTTTCTGGTCTGAGATCTTTATATATTAACAAGGACCCACAGCTTCAGCCAACATCTTCTACTGGTTCTCCACAGCATCTCTTTTTGTTTGTTTTTCCTCCTATTCATGAAAGAGAAAAGGTTCTGTACACAATCAAACTTTAATTTCCCTTTCTTCACTTAATTTTGTTCAGTATGATGCCAGACACCTCCCTTGCCTTTAGAGATCATGGAAGAGGCTCTCTTCTCCCAGCTGAAAAGCTACTGCATCTACTTCTAGGCCTTGCTTACAAAACGCTTGCTCCACTCCAAAAACTCAACACAGCCTTTCGTCTGGGACACCCACATATCCCAAAACTTTGGAAAAAAAGTATTAGAAGAGTAAGCTCAACTCAACACCCCAGAAAAGAGCCTCCCAGTGACAACTAGACTTGACTTTGCAGGTACTGATCCTCTGGCTAGGCAAGAGAAATGGCAGGTGCAGGGAAATATGTTAGATCTCTATCCCCTCTCTCATTTTTTACCACCTTGGCAGAAATCTGATACAGCTCAGTATGTTTTCAGAGTGGAAATGAGCAAACAGCAAAGGGAAGCAGTACCAAGGTACTCACTGGGGATGGAGCTTGTACAAAGTCCCATCTACTCCAACGGTGATTTGCAAGCGGTCCACACCTCGGTTTTCTCTCTTTTTCTCTACAATAGCCGCCAGTCCTGCCCCACAGAGCTGGGCAGCTCTTTTTGAAACAGCTCCACACACCTCTTTCACAATGATGCTGTCTTCACATGTGCTGTCCAGGCCAAGCTGCTGCAGAATTCGCCGGACTTGGAGGAGGGCGAGCCGATCACTGCACAGAGGGAAATGCATGCAAGGCATTAGGGGAGGTTCAGCAGCATGCAAATGAAAGTCTGACAGCTGAGACTGCGATGATTCAGAGGAAATGGGAGTTCTTCTCCAGCTCTAACACACTCCAATTGTTTTCAGGTAGATTCCAGTCTGAATTTAGATTGAAGACTTGCTCCTGGCATGCCCTTTGATATGTTAGACTGTATTGCCAGAAGGCACAAGGAAATATAACTACAAGGAATAACTACAAGCTTAGTAGTTATTTACCTAACTCCCAAAGTCATGAGGGAGCTAAGTCAGATCAGCCACCTGACTGTGTTATTTTTGATCTCAAGGCTGGGACACTACCTTTCAAGGTTTTCAACAGTAGAAAGTGTTTCAAATAGCCTGGAAGACCATTGAAATCATGCACAAATATGTAGGTAAACACATATTCATGGAGTACTCATATATCAAGGACTTTTTAGTTTTTAAATAAGCACTATTTTAAGTCCTACAAGAAACGCTCCAAGTATAATCATGCTTGATGGTGAAGGCATCCAAGATAACACAGCTGCATGGACAGGAAATGATAATTCACAGAATTACAGAATAATTCTGGAACTCCCACAGATCTTCCTTTTTGGCTTTTATTCAGGGGATGGGGGAGGAGGAGGAAGGTGCAAAAAGAAGACAGCTACAATTGACTTCTTGAGGGAAAGGACTCCAAACACTTGCAGAAGACTATTTTCTAGAGGTCACAGACCACTTTAGGGATTTAAAGTCACGTACATCTAACAACTTTACCTCTCAATCTGAGACAGGAATTTTGTTTCAAATATGCCTCTTTTCCTGAGTGATTCCGAAATCTGTCCTCTGAACAGCAGTCCTTGTTTGGTTAAGTCGATCAAAATTTGCCTTACTATTTCACCTAGGTACATTCCACTGGTCATTTTTTCATACCTGTTATGTTATTAAAAAAAAAACAAAGAAGAAAACAAGAAAAAGTACTTTTAAAGAGAAGGCGTGTTAGCTCTGTTTAACATGAGTGGTATATGCATGCCATATCAACTCTAAAAAAGCAGTAAAAGCTTGCAGAGCAATAGCCGTTGAACTCCATCTTTCAACCATCATAAATATGTTGCAGTGACTTCAAGTGCAAACATTAATTACAACATATTTACCTATGTTAAAAGGTAGCAGAACTCGAAAATAAAAACTTCTAATATTAAACAGAGCACAGTGTTAAAGCCTGAGTGCACACTGAAGCAAAACAGTTCTCTGTCCCCCTCATGCATTCACCAGTAAGTCATATATAATTGGTGCTGTCTTTACCAAATGGAGAATGGTCAGGTTCAGTTTATCCTCTTGCACAAGTTGTATTTTTACCTTTGAAAAAACACTCCAAGAGGAGGAACACAGTAAGGCCTACACTCTGCAGGGAAATCTTAAGAGCAGTACTGTTCGGTAACTGCCCTAAGGTGAAATCAGTGCTGTGGTAACAGAAACAAATATACATCTTTGGGCTGGTTTTCTGGATATGTGCATTACTTACCATGCAACACATGAAATGTAATATTAAAATTTCCTTTCTGATTATTCATTCATTAAGCACATTTTTAAGAGTAGCCAGTTTGTCTCAAAGACTGGCTATCAATCTCTTGGCATCAGGACCATCACATTTACCTCTGTTTCCCTGGGTTTAGTGAGCCTTCATCTACTTCTTTATCATACTTCGTTCTGATGTTGTCAATGCAGCCGTTGTCACCAAATGCTCCCCATTCTGTGTTAATGCACATTTTTCCTTCATTCCCTTCCACTATCTCTATGTTTTTCATGTCCTCCATGTAGCACACATTACTGCCTGTTCCTAGGAGGAAAGAAATGACAAGGCTTCAGTCAGAAAAGTGAAGTAGCAGCTGAAACACATGGAAGCTGTCAGTCACTGCTGCCAGTCTGGTTGTAATGCACCGCACATCATCTTGCATGACAGCATGCTCCCAAAAGCTAACACTGCCAAGAGCCTAGCAGCCAGTCAAGCAGCTACAAAGTCTGAAATGACCTGGTGAGCAGGGTCTTACCACTTGCAACATGGATTACAACAACTAATATAAGAACCAGTTCTCCAAACAAAAAACTTTTAGCCAGCCAGAAGAGTCTATTTTCCAAATGAGGCCTCAGACCTTTTCAGGTGAGGCTGGTAAGGCACCAGAAAAGGTTGCCCAAAGAAGTGGTAAATGCTCCATCCTTGGCAGTGTTCAAGGCCAGGTTGGACAGATCCTTGGGTGACATAATCTTGTGTGAGGTATTGGGGTTAGAACTAGATGATCTTAAGGTCCTTTCCAACCCTAACCATTCTATGAGTCTAGGATCTTACATGCTTAGATGTAATTCTGGCTGAAAACTTGGAGGGACCTACTTGGGGAATCATCTAGAGCACCCAAAAATAATTAATTCAGATTTTTAAGTATACTTGCTTGTTCCAAGGCCTATGGCCTTGCTACACAGTAAATTGTCCAAACAAGGATTCATGTTCTTTGTGCTGTTCTTATATTCTTTTACTATGCATACACTTACTAGGCACCATTAGAGATGTGATCAAAAGTCCAACAGATTCAGGATCCTATCTGCCACAGGTGTTATTATGTTCTCTATTGAATACCATACAAATCTGCCAAGAGCCCCAAGTGATCTGTAGCACCATACATCAAACTCAAATAAAAGATGTATCACAAATTTCAAAATAGGGTGTGAGGCCTAGCACCCACATGCATGCTTACTTCTACAGTGGTCACTTCAATATGATTGTACCTGCAATAAGGCCAATCTCGCAGTTTGGATCCTCATATCCACATGTCATCATTGTCCCAACGGTGTCATTCACCACTGCTACAATGTCCAAGTCAAACTCCTAAAACAGAAGTCACAATCAGTAGTGGGGTCCCAGAGGAAGAGGGATGGTGCATTAAATACACCAAAGAGAACAGAAAATAGTAGCTTACATTTCTTCTCCTGATGGCTTCTCTCAGCATATCAACAACATCTTCTCCCTCACAGTCTGTTGCCTTGAAACCTTTCGTCCATCCCACAAGTGTTCCCTGAAATAGAAGAGGAAGAAAATAACAAGTGAAGATAGAGAAAAGACTGCACCTTCCAAGCATCAGCCTGTTTTTATCTCCACACATACCCATCCTTTCTTTCTTTTTTTTTTTTTTTAATGTGTTTCCCTGGACAGGTTACTGTGAGTGTCTGGTGCAGAGTGTGTGCAAGTGTACCTTTGTTACTCGACTGCTGATGGTAGTGACTCCAGGTTTACTCAGCTATTTATCAAGACACTGCCAACTCTGCCTTCTAACACTCACTTGGAAAACCTTCTGTGCATTAAGACATTGCATTATCTAAATAACAGGAAAGACTAAAAAATACTTTTGCTTTAAATAATTAAACACCCAACAAATATTAATGAACATCCTCTGTTGATTTTTGGCTGGTTTACTGAAGGACACTTGGTATGATCCCACTACTCCAGCCAACACTAATTTGGGTGTTTTCTTGGACAGTGATGTGGCCTGACAGAAGTAGATTTCCAGATTACATGAAGTAATTAACTTTCCACTTGGTGACTGGCTCTGGATTATCTGTCCAAACAAGAAAAAAAGAGGGCAACAGAGAGAAAAAGCTGCTCTTAAAATAACCCTCAAGTCCTAGCAACAGTAAAAGGCCAAACACACAAGGTGACATACTGTGGGACCTTGACACAGATGTATCTCACTCAGTTTACTACCACTGCTTTGGAATTTGTTTTCTCATAATTTGTCAAGACCTAAATACTGCTTGGAAATGCCAGGTTTAGAAGGCATATTGAGTTGTCCCCCCACTTTTTTGCTAAACTCTCAACTGTGATCTGGAAATTGAGACAGAGGAGAACAGAAGCTAAGACTTAGAAGTTATTGTGAAACCCACCAGGACATAATAATATTCAATAAATTAGAAGCCTCTCATTTCCCCAATATCCTACATATTTGACTAGAATTAAGCAACACAACCTTCCCGACCCCTCTTTGCAAAAACATCAAAATATCTGATAATTATTTTTTCCTGGCTTTTCTTTATTTTATTTTTTTCTTACATCAGATCTGGAAAGATGAAGATCAAAAAGGCAACTCTCCCAAGCTGAACAATCAAGCTCAGTTCTGCCCACTGACATGCAACAAAAAGAAACTAATGTAGTGAAGAAGTTATACAGTCAGAATTGTGCAGCACAGTTAGGAAAACACCCTGGGATTGTAGCTGAGCAAGCAGAAGGAGACATCTGTTATCTCTTGCCATTGAAGAGTTAAGACAGCATTTGAGATTCTTGGGCTATTAGAAATATGTAGTTATTTCACAATCATAAGAGCTTAATTTTTATGGAATGAAAGCTAGTAACATGCACCTCTTGTCAGATACAAGGTGTAAGTTCTGCCTTCCGTATTTCTATAGGATGGTAACTTTCTCATGAAACACAACTAATTTGCCCAGTAAAGTAATAAAATCCCTACAAAACAGGTGAAATGTTATCTACAAAGACAAACTGGCTTTTCCTTCCCCTCTAGCCTTGTAAAGCCCTATTTGAAAGAAAGCATGTAGAAGAATAGCTTTTTGCTTGCAGTCTCCAAACCAACAAGTCACCCTCATCCAAAATGATGTAATTTACCAAGCTGATGCACACCTGCCATTTGACCCATTCTGTGTTGCAGTTCTCACCTTGTCAATGCTGGCTTGCCTGCACGGGAAGGAGAAGGTGAAGCCCAGAGGCAGGCGAGCACCTTTAATCCCCATGTACTCCAGAAAGTCTGCTATGCACTGGACAATATGATCAAAGAGCTGGAAGGAAAGAAAAAGTATACAAGTCTCACAGTAACCCTGTGCAAGAGGCCTTGGCTGGATCAGTTAAAAGTTCATTAGAGATTACCTCTTCTCCTGTCCCTTGCATGATCTCCAAAGGAATGGCAAAGATTTTGTTATACATTTGCACAGATCTTCTTCTCCCACTTCTGATTTTGACCAGCAGAACCCTGAAATTTGTCCCACCAAGATCAAGGGCAAGGAACTTTCCTTTCTCTATAAGAAAAGAAAGGTATTTCATTTTGGTGCTTCTGGTAGCCTGTTTGCCAGTCAGAATGGTATACCCTGCCATACATCCCCAAGAAACTTCATCTGTGGCAGCGATAGCACACTGCTCTCTATAGCATTTATCTCACCAGCCTGCTAAGCACAGACCTGAAGGGTCAGCCAGATAAGACTGCAGGAAGCACTGGTTTGCCAACATAAATCACCCTGGTATTTTCCAGAATAATTGGCATATTCCCCCCAGAAGACAGACAAGTAGCTTTCCTGAACAACCACCATGTAATCAGAAAACAACTCTACCTGTTCCGTCTGGTGTCCCACAGACATATGTGGGTAACATCTTCACTGTGGCACTAGCTTGGGTCTCTCGCTTTAGCCCATATTCCAGCTCAGTCCTCATTTTGTTTTTAACTTCTCTGAGGGTCTCCAGGGACAGCAGAAATGGTGCAAGAGCAGCATCAAATTGCTTACGCTGAGCAGCCAGCCTGTAAGCCACTGCTGTGACCAAGGCAGCCCCCTTCCCACTGCCACTCACAGAGAGGAGGAACCGAACATCACAGTTTGGGACCAGCCTTCTCACCACCTTGTGCAGACGTTTAGCATATCTACAGGAACAAAGAGTTTCTTTAGATTCTCACAGGCATTTTATGCATGGTTTACTTCACATACATTTCCAGTACATGCACACATGAAACAGCACAAGTGCTGAAGCACAGTCAAGAGGAGCACATAAGGTCGGAAACTGGTCTAGGAGATGGGTAAAATGATCCTGATTTCTGGCTGTTCTGCAGAACCTGTATACTTACAGGAACATGAAGATATCTCTAAACAAGTGCCAGTGCCAAGGGAGGACACTGGAGAAAAGTCAGGCAACAACAGTCACCATCACAAACAGAGGGTGAGAGCCTCCATCTGGAATCAAACTTCCATCCAGTTGATGGAACCCTGTGAAGTGCAAGTGCCCTGGAGATCAAAAGTCACTTGAGGAATCAATTGCTCTTCCCCAGACACCATTATCCCATGTGTTGTTTTTTTCCCACCCCGCACCAAGTTCTAAAGCTCCTGAGGCAGCCTTGCCATAACTAAGCCAGCCTGATCCTCTGCATTGCACCAGCCTCACCCCAACCCTGCAGCAAAACCAGCAGGTCTCTGAAAAGCCACACATATGCAGATGGCGAGTCTTTGCAACATGAGCATGTGGCCAGCGATTATCAAATCCCCTTTAATTACTTACTGGGGGTGGGTTTTATAGAGTCCCCCATCAATCCCAACCGTCGTTCGCATCCTCAACAGTTTTTTATTCTCTCTTAGTCGGGTCAGAATGGCTGCCAAGGCGGCAGCACAGAGGTTGGCCGAGCGGAAGGAAACGATGGTGCAGACATGCTGAACAGCGATGCAGTCCTCTTCAGAGGGAAACAGGTTCAGCTCTGTAAGGATCTCTTTTGTGTTGCTCAGACCTTCCTTATATCTGCCCCAAAACAAAAGAACACATCATCTAATGCAAGGATATTAAGGCAACACATAAATCAATATTTGCATGTTGGCTCAAAATGAAATGAGAGAAAACCTCGGCACAACCTAGCAGGCAGCATCATAATTGGTTCCCATAAACCACCAACATCTTTTCCTGCACTATTCCCTAAAGTACCTGTGGGAGAGACCAGATTTTTAAAAGGCTGCTTTCTGAGGTTCAATTTTTGGTGCGATTTACCAATTGGCTAGCCAAGAAAGTCTGTAGAAAGAGAGCACAGAAATAGATGTACAGCTTCACTTGATACAACAAAGAAAATTGCTCCTGGGTAACAATGAGGACTAGGATTCCTCTTCAAAACACTAGAATCTATCAGTTTTCCACGTGGTCAACCATTAGCTGATCCGGAGTGTGTACTACATCTCCACAACCCCAGTATTCCCACATCACAGGGGTTGAAAACTGCAACAATCATCCCATGTACTCAGGTCTCCAAAGAGGTTATTTAAACAACCTGCATCTGTGATGGTTAACAGTACATTTTCTACTGTGGTACTTCGCTAAAACTTGACCTGCCATCAATTCCTACTTACTACTTCCTAGGCAAAAGCAAGATCAAGTTGAAAATTTCAGGGTTGTACACAGTACTCATGGATTATAATTACACATTCACTATCATTGCTGTGCTTGTGAAAGAGTAACAGCCACTCTCAAACACCATATTGCAGGTTCTTACTTTTCCATTGCAGAGACATGTTTCATTTCAATCTTGCCCTTAGTAAGCAGAGCTGTTGACACCTTCCCATTGAAGAGCAGACCCTCTTTTGTCATTTTTAGGAGAATGAGTCTTACAAGTTCCCCCAAATACAGGCTGCTGATCATCTTCTCAAACCTGGAAAGGGGCACAGGAAGGATTACAGGTGTTCACCGACTAGCCAAAGCCATGAAAAGTTCAAGAATGAGCATCTTTTGTTCTTATGCAGGTTGATCACATTTAAGCACGTACAAAAGGAGTTTGGGAACTAAGTTGTAGATGGGGTGCCATTCTGAGGTCCTGGGACCCAGCAACGCCCCCTCAAGATAAATAAGGAATTTTAAGAGGCTTTTCAAGAGACTTGAGAGCAGCTTAGCCAGTAGAAGCACTTTTGATGAACCATGCTTTAAACATGCCATTTGTTTACCTTCTTCCTGTCTTTGCTACTCCACAGCACCAAACCAGAGCAACCCCCTATTTTTAACAACACATTAGCAACTGCAGCAGCAATGCCTTGACCTGTGAGGCCAGGAAGTTGTGAAAGGTACTCATCCTTCCCAGAAGGGAAAGGTCTGGATAGGACAGAACCAGATCAAGTCAACTCAAGTTCTCTTAACCTGATTTCTGTTCCAAAGGGGATCCTGGAAGCACACTCAGAGAACTCAGACTGTTGAGGCAAATCAGCCAGGGAATCACTCACAATTGTTTTCCAGGATTGAGAGATCCCAGATCTAGCTCCCGATCAAACTCTGTGCGGAGGTCATCCAAAGCACCATCATCTCCAAAGGCACCCCACTCTGTGTTAATGCACATCCTCCCTTCATCGCCTTCCACCAGATCGATATGCCTCATTTCCTCCATGTAACAGGCGTTGGTGCCAGTTCCTGTGCATATTGGAGACAGTGCAGGTAAATTACCTTTTTGTTCCAGGTTTGCTTTTTGTTTAAGCCCACATGTTTGAGAATAAGTTAGTGAAGAACAAAATATAAATACCTAACCCCATGGTTAAATAATCATTTCACAGTGAATTAAAAAAACTCAGAAATTAATCTAAGGCTTGGATTGTTTGAAAACATTTTTTCTTTTTCAAACATATGTCTATGTGCCTTAAAAAGCCACCACAGTGCACAAAGTGGAGACATTGTGGAAAACATAGCTGATCCTAACTACCAGACGTGAGAGGAATTCAGCTTTCTCTAGACAGACAAACAGTAATTTTCTATACAGTCAGCAGAAAAGTTTAGTATGCTGGTCACAACTGAATCCAGACAAAATGGGGACTGTGGTATTTGATGGCAATGTGATCAGCATAAAACCAGCTGCTTTACAGAAGGCAGCCAGGCTTGAAAATCTGAAAATCTTTGAAAAGAATTGTTTTTTCCATTTTCTTCCTGCTCTTTCCTGTGCTGGGACATTCCCTTCTACTACAGATATTTTAGGATTAAACAAATGAGGAGAAAAAGGCTACTTAGTGAACAGAAAAATTTACCAATTATGAGTCCAACTTCACAGCGCTGGTCATCATATCCACAAGTCATCATGGTTCCCACAGTGTCATTGACCAGTGCCAAAACATCAACGTCTATGTCCTAATAGCATAAAGATGGGTGAGTAACACAAAAAAAGCTTGGAAAGCCTCCTGTGTATTGAAGTAACAGCATGCAGACATACTCTCTGGGTCATACTTTGAAGGCCTTGTTCAGGAAAGCTTTTCAGTTGAAAGACACACTACTTTCTTTTATAACACTATACCCACAACCCTGCAAAGTAACACATATCTCTGAATTCTCGAGTGCTTGGCCAGCCAGGATCTTGGCCTGCAAGATTTGTTTTTACCCAAGCCAATCTCATTCACCAGAAATCAATGTGTTGTTGGTTTGAATTCTGTGATGTTCTAGCACCCATGTATCTGTCCCATGAACTGCACAATAAGATAATGTTCTACTACCTGAGCAGATCCTACCAGATGGGATAGAAAATATACATACATAAATGCGGTTATTTAACACAAAGCCATGCACTAATATCACACTCAAGTAAAAAGCCTTTCCATCAAAGCTGTGCAATTTTCCTTTCACACTGCAGTAACTTGATAAAGTAAAATCAAAGTTATCACAGGATTCTTGTAACTCAGCACTAGCAGGGGGCCAGACTTCACCCAGCAACTCTCAGATCCTTTGATCCTGCTAATTACAGCAAGGCTAGTGTAGAGAAAGAAGCAAACTAAAAACCAAAATGAAGGTTGGATTTTTACCATGTAAGAAAAAAGAATTTCCTCTTTTTTTACAAGGATTCAAGGTATGGAAAGATGCTTTGTATTTCTTAGATGGTGCTATCAATAGCACCAAGCTTTCGACAAGACTTTCCAATATACTAAAACATAACGTTATTCAAAGGTATACACTGGTTCAAGGGCAGATTTAACCATGCTAACTGCTGTCTTACAATCACTCACTCCACCCCACCAACTGAAGTGGACAGGCAAGCCCTGATAGAGTTGTATGTGCCAATTTTAAATGATAGCTTCCCCCTCCCAACCGTCATCCCACAAGCCAACCTACAAAACACAGTGTGTATCCACGTCTTACCAAATTGTTTCACAACAGATTCCCCTTTGCCTAGACAGACAGTAGGGCTATAATGGTCCACTATCACAGCCAGCTCAGTTTATCAGTGTGCTGTTGCCATCACTGTTAGACTGACCTTAGGCAGCCTGAGTTGCAAACCCTTCCACAGCTTCAGCTCCAAGGGAGAGACAGATCTACTAGATATACAGCCATGTTGGACATTTGTTACTGACTGTCCTTGAAGGATGTCTGACAACTCCAAAAATAACCCACACACCAAGAGCTGATCTCCCAAGAGGACAAGCTGGGGCCAGTCAGGTTCACCTCCTGCAGGTACAAAACTTGCCTTATGCTTCTGGAGGGCCTTGCGCAGAGAACTGACCACATCTGTGTCCTGAACTCCTCTGACCTTGAAGTGTTTCGTCCAGGCAAGAAGAACCCCCTGCAAAGTAACAGTCCAGTGACCCAAAAGCTCCAGCTTTAGCATACAAACCTGCCACAAAGTCACAGCAGAACATCTCACCTTAGGGTGCCTGTCAGTACAAACACAATTAAGCAAGTACTGCAATCAAGTCCCAATACTGCAAATGCTTCTCCCTGTACTTTGCTTACTGATGCTCATCACAAACTAATAGCATTAAGCACAAAGCATTTGCAGGACTGGGACCCAAAGCACAAATCCCTAGAAATAAAAGAGAGGCTAGAATAAGAGAACACAAAATAATTGCAACCAGCCCTTCATTTCCCCATGCAGCCTCTCAAACAGCTTGTCTAGAGGTCTTTCCTATTTAGAATCAACTGTAAAAAGGAAATTGAATGACAGCAATTTAAAAAAAGAGCCATGCTTCAGGACACAAAAGTATATGTTTTATAGTCTTCGTATAAGGGCAACATGGTTAGTACGAATTGGGTACTGATTAAGTAGAAGAACAGCTTTAGGTTAACCATCACGTTGCCTCAAGATTGGAAATGAGTGTTTGAGTGGTAGTCAAGTCTAGTTATATGCTAATGGTCATCCATGCCTTTTCCACAGAGCTACGTAAACATGACCCCACAAAAAAGGCCATGCAATAGCTTTCTCCAGGTTCCGCAAGGAGCTAGGCTTGCAGAAAGCAAGTTCATTTCTTTCTGCATCTTACCTCTTCTAATTTGGACTGTTTGCATGGAAAAGAAAATGTAAAACCGAGAGGTAACTTCTTATGCTTCAGGTTTTTGGTCTCCATGAAGTCTAACAGACAGTCAGCAATGTAATCAAAGAGCTGCACAAGAAAGGAGAAGACAGAGTCAGGCTGTGTCCGGCAGTCGTGCTGTGCTTCAATGCATGACTGGTCAAGCACAGCACCAGCACAGAAGACCCTGTGTGCCCTACCTCAGCTCCATTCCCCTGTATGACCTCCTTGGGTGTAGGGTAAAACTCGCTCTCCAGCTGGCTGCTCTGCTTCCCGTCATCAAACACCTTCACCTGGTGGGCACGAAACTGGGAGCCACCCACGTCAACAGCAAGGAATTCACCCTTCTCTGCAATACAAGTGGGCAACCGTCACCAGTCGTGGCTGAGAAGGATGGCCCAGATGCCATGCTGAAAGCCACAGTCCAGGGCCCCTCCCTTACCGTGGCCACAGGCTCTTCTGCCCCATCATGGCAGGTCCTTATCCTATAAGACTGGGACCTTCACCAGGAAGGTTCAGAGCTGGCAAACCTTAGCAACAGCATCAGATCCCTCCTGCCAGCTTGCTAACTGCAAGCTAATTTCATTTTCAGCATGTTTTCAACTTGCAGAAGGATAAGCTTCTCTGCAAAGGAGGCCCAAAGCAACCGCAAAGCCAACCAGAGCACACAGGAGCTACAAACCGTACATCTGAAATGTGGGGAAATGAAAGTTTGGGAGCATTACCCACGTCCACCAAAGTATCCAGGATTTGAAGTCACATTAAGACTTGGCCTACTGCAGAAGTCAACTTCCAAGTGGGGCAAAACAATAATCTCCAAATGCCTTTAAGTGTTTCTATAAAAGTATTATTTTGTTTCTCAGTCAGCAGCACTCTTAGCTCAAACACCTTCTCTAGCAGGAGACCTCAGACAGAAGGATTTGTGGCCTCATGGATACAGTAATAATAACTTAAAAAAAATTATCTATCCCACACAGAGGAGAAGGCCGTTCCCAAAAGGAAAGTGCAGTGGTATGTGCATAGCCTTGTGTGATCTTTGTTCCACAGTTCAAACACCCGACTAAATTTTATCAAATCTGGCCCTGAAAGGGAAGGAAGCAGGAAATTCTACCTGTAATTCCATGGTTAGATAGCACAAAGGTGAAGAGGCAAACTGGGTTACTCAGTAAACTGTGACATCAGTCAGACCATTAATCCCTCAATGATTAAAAACTGATATGTTCCATATGGGTCATTTCAGGTAGCTTCACTGAGAACACTGAAATATCTGAAAGTTTGTTACTATTGCGAATAGGAAAATCCAGCCAAGTTTAAGGTATTTAAACATGCTGGAAGTTTTGTCAGGAAACAAAACCAATAAGGATTTTGCAAGAGAGCAAAAACAGAAAAATCAATGTGATACTTAAAATAGGTAGTATGTCAATAAGACATAGCCCAGCTTGACTCTGCAGCACTGGCACAGCAGAAAGGTCACACAGGCCAGGAGAGCATTGTCCATAGTTGTCCTTGAGGAACAAGAAGTCTTGCAACATGATGATACTAAATGCAATTTGCCAAGTCTCCTAACCTCAGAGGATCCCTACCATTTCAGGAGAGGGTCAGTGCCATGTGAGACCTCAAGGCTAGTGATGGTTACTGAGATAGCAAGGGTTGACCTAGTATTTCTTTTTCTTTGATGAAGACAGCAGCAAAATGAAGAGTGCCCAGTTCCAGCCAGGCAGTTTGAGGTGATTGTATATAATTTCTCTCAGATATTCTTCATTTCAAGGGACTAGCCTCTAAATCATAGAATAGTTTAGGTTGGAACAGACCAAGGAAGATCATCTAGTCCCAGTCTCCCTGCCATGGACAGGGACACCTTCCACTAGACCAGGTTGGTCAAAGCCCCGTCCAATCTGACCCTGAAGACTTCCAGGGATGGGGTAGCCACAGCTTCTCTGGGCAACCTCCAACACTTCTCAGTGTCTCACCACCCTCACAGTAAAGAACTTCTTCCTAATATCAAATCTAAATCTACCCTCTCTCAGTTTAAAGCCATTCCCTCTTGTCTTATCACTACCTGCCCTTGTAAAAAGTCCCTCTCTGGCTTTCTTGTAGTCCCCCTTTAAAGTACTGGAAGGCTGCTTTAAGGTCTCCCTGGAACCTTCTTTCTCCAGGCTGAACAAGCCCAGGTGTCTCAGCCTGCCTTCATAGGAGAGGTTTTCCAACACTCTTTATCTTCATGGCCCTCCTCTGGATTCACGCCAACAGGTCAATGTCCTTATGTTCTCTTTACACCATGAAACACGTTATTTCTCATTTAACTGTAGAAAAATCACCTTCAGAAGGAAAGAAGTCCTGTAGAAATGAGGTACAAAGGAAACATTTCTCTTAAGTTTTCTGCACAGCTGTTATACAAGTCTTGACCTAGATCAGACACAGACTCCTGCACAGATTCAAAGACTTGATTAAAGCTGGTAAAAACATAGTTTTCCGTCAGTCTGCACTGCCAGTAGCAAGCTGAGCCAGTTGAATTATTTTGGATGTGTGTACTTCTTCAAACAAGACAGGCTTTTAAGATTCTCACATTCCCCTGGAGGACACCACTGCACTTTCTCCCTCTGTTTAAGTCTCAGGGGCAACTGATCTAGCCATGGAAGCAGAGCAGGCTGCTTCCCATCCAGAAGCACATTTTCCCAATGCAGAAGGCAAGGAAGGGAAGGAAAGGATTACTTTTTGGGACAACAAAGCAAGCAGTGCAGAGTTTGCTGTCAGAAGCCAAGAAGGGATCAGAGCTCTGAAAACAACGTTGCTGCCACTTTGCAATTTGAGGGGTTTTGCTGCAGCATCCTGCCTTCCTTCTCGGTCCGTGAAGGCCAGAGCAGTAACATTGCCACATCCCCCCACCTGCAGCACACTGCACTGCAGGGTCTGAGCTGTAGAGGCTGCCCTTGCCGTGTCCAGCCACACCTCCTGAAACAGGGCCTGCACTGGGTACAGCGCGTTTTACAGAAGAAAGAGGCTGGTTTCTGAGCACTTACTAGGTCCTTTCCTCAAGCAAGCAGCACTAGGACAAAAAACACCTGGTGGAGGGAAAAAGTCCTCTGCCAGCACTCCCCCATGCTGCTGTCTCCTCAATACACACCTTTCTCAACATGAGATAGGCAGTAATCCAAAGCCACAGGCTGCCCTGTGTCATTGCTGTGCTGTCCTTGAGTACTGGTAGCAACCCAACATCTTCCTAAATCAGCACTGCTGTGATGGAGCAAGGTGAACTCACCTGAGCCATCGGGAAGTGAGCGCACAAATGACGGCAGCATTTTTACTGTTGCTGTGGGGTTTGTGTCTCTCCCCAGGCCCTTCACCATCTCAGCCTGGAAGCGAGCCATCACATCCAGCAAGACATCATCAGAGAGACGCATGTGATACAGGTACCTGTCAACCTGGAAAGATGAAAGGTGTTACTTGCATGCAGGTTCTTCAGTGCTCAGCAGTATGCTGCGATGAGTACTGCTTTCACGCTACAGTGAACTATGTGTACTGAGGAGTCTTCCTTTATGTCTGCAAGCAGAGAAAATGCAGGAACTTCATAGTTAGGCATGAAGGATTTGAAAATTCTGAACTCCAGTTCTAGCAGCACTCCTTATTATGTTGGACAAGAATTACTAGGGTCATTCCCACCCACTTGACAGACATGAGTCTACACAGATCCTAAGGGGAAAAAATAATTCCTTTCACATATGTAACAAACTGAAGGTGAGCACATAACCTACACAAACTCCACCTCTGCTTCTAAAAGTTCATCTCGTTTTGACCTCAGCACCTAAATTCCCATGATTGTTAGTGCAAGCAAGCTCCAGAACATCATTGGAATATTTACTCTCATAAAAACTTTGCCCTGAAAATGTTTAATTGAGCCTTGGTGAATTACTACTAAAAAGTTAGCTATCTTTTCAATGGCTCAGTAACTTGCAAACATACATATCCCATGAAACTTACTTGAGACCCTGACAGGCTATTTTTACACCATCCTCTCCTCCTATAATGAACTAGAGCTGCAAAGTACCTCAACCTGGTGAGAATTTGACTTCTCCGAGTCAAGTCCAGAAAATGTCATCAGTATCCAAGCGTGTCGGCCACAACCTGAAAACATCTATTCAGCTACTGCTTCACTCCACAGACAATTAACTTTGTTAGCATGCCAGGCAGGAGCTCAAAGCCTCTTCTCACTCCAGCTCTGTCCTCCATTCTCTTGTGATTCTAGGGTTACTTCTAAAACACATTTTTGGGTGCAGTCAATATCCTTTCTTAAAGGTCTGTAACTCACAGCATACATCAAAATAAAAGACAGTTGAATTTAAAGGAAATCAAAGCATCCATGAAACAATATTCATTCAGATAAACTGGTAGAGAAACTAATCAGTTTCTGCATAGCTTCATCAGGGCAAAACTTGAGGTTTTCTTCAAGCTTGCACTGACATTTACCTGCAGGGCTATATGCATGTCTGTAAAGTGGCCTAGAAACTACATAGCTGGTACAAGAAAGGATTAATGCAGCAAAATAAGAATCTGTCAACATCCAAATGTTCTGCTGAGCCAGACTTTGGTGCTGTATGAACAAAGACGATTCAGGCATAATAATTCTGTGCTCCAAACAGCTGGATATCCTCTGGAGGGTAATCTGTGTTAACATCCTGCTCCCCATGACATGAGGGTCAGGTCCAGAGGCGGAGGAGAGAGGTGGGACAACTTCCAATGCTTCACTAGTATAGACACTCATCTCTTGCAGCATGGGCTACGTTATTACACTGCTTTATCTGTTCAGAGCATTGTATCAGTCCCATCTACATAAGGAGGTCTAAAGGGTTAGGAGACCATGCACAAGTCAAGTTCCACTAACAACAAGCCAGGATTTAAAAGGCAGCATTGTTCAAATAGAGGAGGAGAACATGCAGGTTGCAGATAAATTGGCCTCTTCAGCAATTTGGACTGGCCACCTCTATTAATGAGGCACAAACTAATTACCTATTCACAGTCCCATTTTAAACCCGCAATCACCCACCTGAAAGAGCTGGGACCCTGAAAGTAACTCCAGCACTTATCTAACAGCAAAACATACACACACGGAAAAGAAAGTCCAAAACTACAAGATACAATTGGTGAGGAGCAGCAGCTGCCTTTGGATACCAGCTGTGCCTTGAAAAGATCATTATTTAGACCTTTCTTTGTAGCCCTTGTTTGCAGAAGCGCTTGATTTCTGCCAAGGCTTTTTTGAGGCCTCATCACTGTGTATGATCCACCATCTCAGCCCAAGCACCAGTTCTGCTTTTTAGGGCATACCAAAAGGGGGGAAAAAAAAAAAAAAAGGAAGAAAGAAATTACAATGACTGGAGACATAAGAGCACTCACACATTCTCACACAGACCCAAACAGAAGTCTCTGTGGAAAAAAAACCCCAAACAACTAAACGGTAATAAAAATAACCATGTCTGTTTGCAGAGAACATGCACTAGCTCTCTGCTTCACACAGAAACTGCATTCCCCATGCTGTTTGCCTACAACCACAGGAGGAGTCAGTCCTCTCAGAGGAACTAGATAAGGCAGAGCCCAGGAAGGCCGGCTGATTCTCTGGCCTGATTTACAACCACAGCAAGGGCTGCTCACATACCATTTGCTTGTAAACACAGGAATGGCCAGGCTGTGCAACACCCACTGTGCAACACAAACTGTCCCGCTGCCTCCTTCGTACTGCACAAGGACAATCCTTGTTTTTAAGTGTCTTGCCTCAATTATGGAAACAGCACTGTCTTCATCGCAAGGAAGCTCTTGTTCTTGCCACCAGAGAGCAAATAAGCCCGGAGAGGGAGAGGTGGGAAGGTGTTCCTTCTTTCTGACAGGGAGAAATCAACTCAGTTCCATACAGCCGACCTTGGGTTTCTTAAAAGAGAACTCTACAGAGCATGTGGTTTCTTGCCTCAAGGCTGGGCTAGTTTGCACCTAGCAGAAGGATTTAATTTTTTAAATGGCTTTGCCAGAATCCCTCTGCCCCTTCCTCTCTGCTGTCCTCACTTCAGGGAATTCAATTCCTCCCTCAGCTACACTCTGGATGTTTCTCTGAAGAGCCCACTCTACCCAAGCACTGTTCCACAAGGTCTCTCCCTTAGTGAAAAATAAGAAGAAATAGTGCAGTCTAGATGAGAAATCTTAGATCAGATCATTGCAAAAGAAAAGGGCAGTGTACCCCCTTCCAATGATAGAATAATGGGAATTAAATGGGAATAAAAGGGCTGTGACTGAGAGGTAGAGTCAGAGCCATCTGACAGTTGAGATACCAGAACCTCTCTTGGAATGCTTCTCTTCAAGACAGAATTAGCGGAAGAAGCCCTACCTAAGAACAAGCAACTCCATGTTTAAGCAAGGGCACAGAGAAGACAATCAAGTGCTGCTTGCTTTGCTGGTAAGCTCAGCAGTACAGGCAGATCTACCCACCAGGACCCTGGATCTCCCACCATGGGTCTGCAGACAGCCCTGCCTCTAGCTGGCTGGAAACCAAGAGGATGGGGGCTGGCAGCAATGGCCAACAGAAAGCACTCCAATGGAGATGCCAGGAGAACAGAGGACTGCAGGGGACATGTCTAGAAACTAGGCAACCTCTGACCCAAGAAGCTTACAGGTCCCACGTGGTCTTATGATGGAGAGCCAGAAAACACTTTACAGCATGGCCATTAAAGTAGATTAGGGAATAGCGACCATTAGGCAGCTTGCTCACTCCCAGTACTGATGGCTTCAGATATGGGCCATCTTGAGCTTTTCCAACTGTAATTTAAGATCACATCTATAAGCATTATAGTGATCAGCCAGGTTTGAACCACAGGAGATACATGCACTTCTCCCACACCAACACTAGTTGGAACTGCCTCTGGAGTCCCAAAAGACCTGGCCCAAAGACCACAGGAGTTTTCCCTGGTACAATGTGGGTAACACCAATTCCTACTCAACTTTAGAGATCCCATCCTTCACACTACACATGCAAACCAATTCAGCAAGAGGTTCCTTTCTGCCCTCTGGGTTACAACACAACATGCCAGATAAGGTTTAAGCACCGCTTTTCCTTTCTGGAGATCATTTGCTGAATTGCTGGAAGAGAACTTATAACTGCAGGGGAAAGCACTAACCAGACCTATTTTCACACTTGTCAAATGGTTTAGGGTCCAAATACTTTTTACCCCATATGGCTGTATGGCGTTAGCAGATAACACCATTATTCATCCTGCACGACATACTGCAGACCCCACAGTATCTGAGTAACAGTTTTCAAAACAGAAATTACACAACACTACATCTTACCTTTTTTATTTGATCCTCTTTTAGCTTTGTGAAATGGAAAGCTAGCAAGTGGACAGCAAACATTTTCTTGAAGCAGATGGATGAGTCAGTAGTGACAGAGTTGCTGTGATTAACTCCAAAGAGACAGGTCTTTATTCACGAAGCTGGAGCTAGAGAAACTTCAGCTGAGGCATTTCCCCCAGGGTGGGATAGTGGAGTTCCTGGGAAATTGAGTCCAGAAATAAGTCCATCCAGTGTGATCGGTTCAATGATTAACCTCCTGTCTCTTTGTATCACCTCCCCACATCGACCCAAAGTCCCTCCCTCCCCAGCTACACACTTCATTGTGCCAGAGCAGGCACCTGGAGAGCTGCCAAGCTGAAGAGGAGAAAAATCGATTTTGTTACTGCCCTACTTGCGAATTGTTACCACTTCACAACATAGTTGCTACGCAGTCTGCCCTGCTTCGCCCAGCTTCATTCCCGGGGGGCTGACAAGCTCCCACCAGCACAGCCTGCAACAAAGTGCTGCAAGGAATCTGGAGAATTAGAGAGGATTTTAGGAGGTTTCTTCCCCCTGCTCAGTGCTCCCACTTGCAAGACAAGCTCTTCTGCATGAATTAACTTCACTTTGGTCGTACACAGTGCACCCTTATCTCCGGCTTTTTTCCAATTAAGCTTCAGCCGCGTAAAGGAGCAGAGACACACAGACCCCTGCCCCCAGCTGAAATACCTCTTGTGCAATTTCCAGCACAGCGGTTTGGTACAGCTTATTCTCCCTTCACCCCTCCTGAAGACAAAGTTTCAGACCAATGCAGATCCTCAGTATTGCAAAACCTGGGGAGGCAACAGATCTACCTGGCAGCCAACAGTTGATATCAGACTGCCTCACTTGATAAATGCCTTTAATGGGCAGCACAGAATGCCTACAGCAAAAGCGGATTTCTAAACACCATCAAAGCTGAATCTGACACAGCCACTAACTATTACTCTCAAAAGTTAATTCTGAATCTGCAAGTGTTTCCAGGATTTTGTCATTGTATCAAGTGACACCGACTACAGAAACATCATCCAAAGGCAACTGGATGAAATGTTGGCACAAAGGAGAGAAACAAAAAAGGAAAAAAACCCCAACAAAACAACAACAACAAAAACCAGGGTGCGCACACAATGTGTTTCCCTCTTAATTACTGTTCAATACTGCAGCTGGAACTGAGCACACTTACTGCACTGGCAGACAACTGCCACAGAAAATTTTGCAGAATAAGACTGCAGTCAAAAAATGTCTGTATAAATTAGAAAAACAGCCTTGGGGCAGTGGAAGAGGGAGATGGAAAAGGCGAGGACAAGTACTGGGAGTAAACACAAAGAGCTGATAAGCAGAATTAGAAAATCATCTACACAGGTCCAGAGTAGGGCAGAAGCAGGCAGTTAGCAGAAAAGGATCTCAGGTTATATCAATTCACAGCCTGAACTGGACCAAACAATCTCATGCTATTGCAAAAGTAGTGCAATTGCTCATCATATATGAGTAGGAATATAATACACACACACAAAGCAACACTCGACTCTACACTCAGCACCAGCCCCAAGAAGAGGGCTCTACCCAGTCCTGACAGCTACAGTATGTCAAGAAGGCATGGATCATGAGATAGCTCTGCTGAAGAGCAGTAGTCACAGGTTACATTTTTTTCAGCCTCTGATCACAAAAGACTGAAAGAGCTGAGGGACGGGAAGGGAACTCCCTTTGCAGTCAAATTATACGGAACCTCTGCTAGGAAAGCTTGAGGTCTTTTACTCCGTCTTGCATCAGGAATGAGCTCTGGACACTTGGAGATACCCCCAGCTCTCTTTATTTTCCATTGTTCTATAACACGAGTAAAGCAGATAGCATAGCTAAACAGCCCATAAATATGGCTTGCTCTAAAATTAGGCCTTTGATCTTGAAGAGAAAGGGAGAAAGAAAGAAGAAAAAAAGCCACACTACCAGCCAGAAAGCACGGTTCACTTCTCCTGTATTCATCTTTTAATAACTGCTGGCTCGTTAGACACTGACTCCCAGAGGGACTGTCTCTTTCCTCATTGTTTACCCATGCCATCCGAGTCACAACCCCTCTGGCCAGCAAAATTGAAAACATCACCTTTCAAGCTCCATCCCACTTTGATCCAGAGCTCATTGTGTCTGTAATACAGTAGATTTATTTTTCATTCTCTCTTTTCTGTCTTTCTCTAACAGATGCCACTGGAAAAGGGTCTCAAAGATCTAAATGTTTCTAAACTGGCAGAAAGCTCTGTTAAATACCTGACATGTCAGAATCGCTGCGTAACTTGTCGGCTCATCCATGGTGCATCCTAGCTTCAGGCAGGCTGTTGTGCAAGAAAAGACAAGACATTATCTCATTTCCACATATACAGCTGTTCAGTGCTCTAAGGGCCCAATACCCAAATATGTTACAGCCATTTTGAGTATTCTGCCCAGTACAGGCGAAACAATCCAGGACCAACTGAACAGATCAGCTCCAACTGGATGCAGCTTGGAGGCTTGCGGCAATGTTGTTTTTTCCCTTTGTTAGAGCTGCAACCAGTAAAAGTGAGTCACAAACTTTCCCTTCTCCCTTTACAAGGGCCAATGAGACTTCAAAGTTATAACAACTCTCTCCCTACTTTCTTGTTCTGCAGTTCTCTCTCCAAACCGTGCCTCATGGCACAATGGAGAATTCTGAAGACACTGGTGCTCACATGCCTCTCACAGCCTTGCAGTCAAAGGCCCTGCAACGAAAGGTGGTCACAGCTACATAGGTAATTCATATAAATACCCGAATGTATCAGCTAAACAAGCACCAGATTCCTCCAGAAAAAGGTACCATATTAATAAGTATTTTATTGCATTTATCTTTGGTGAGGTATGAGAGGTAGTGGCAACCCTGGATGCTGGGTTTGGCACCCAGGTTTACAAGAAGACAGTGGACAAACAAGGCTAAAGGTGAGTAATTAAGAGAAATTATAGCTTATATTTCCAAGACAAGCAAATTTGTGGTCTTGGAACATGAATCAACGAACATGTTTCCCATCCCAATAGCAGCAGCTTTGTTCCCCATTATATTCCCACAAATCCATCCAAACTCAGGACAGAAAGAGGTCCCCACATTTGCCCTGCATATGTCTCTCCTAGGGCAACATCAGGATGTAAAAGAAGGCAGAAAACCTGAGAGGACTGACTGGAAAATTCACTCCAAGGACAGACACTATTTGGAAGAGATGGAGACAGGACAGACAGAAAAGAGCACACTGGCTTTAGAGAAATAAGGCTTTTACCAAGTAGTGCTGCTACAATCAGCATTTTACATATGACGCAGAACAAATAAACACACAAAAAATGTAATTGAGAAATCAATAAACTTCTAAACATCTGTGACTTGAAGGCTTGAAATTAATCTGGAATCTGAACACCTGAAGAGTTTTGCGAATGCGATTCCCAGACCAAGTGAACACTGTTGCTGACATTTAAAAGGAAAAGGTTTTGGCACAGCCCCATGAAGAAGAGCAAGAGGCCACTCAATCCTCCCCCAGGGGCTTGCTTGCACAGGGCACGTTAAAAACGTGCAGCTGGCATAGCTTTGCACCACACCAGTCCAGATTGTACCATATGGGACCAATTTGGCAGTCATTCTAATGGGAGTCAATGACAGCCACACCATTAGCTCAGAAGAAAAGAAAACTTTCATAAAAAGTCAGCCTGTAAACGCCTGAATAAACTTCAGAGCTCTTAAAACAGTTACTATGGAGTCACTATGGTAACAAGCAATGAGTTAAGCCAAGTGCTAATCTCAGCAAAATACTAAAAAGAATGCTTATAGTCATTTAGCTTCCTTATTGCAAGGCTTGCTGCTCAAACACAAGGCTGGCTTATACCCCGAAGTCCCAGCAACTCTTTCCTTGCCCAAAAACATACACTAGTACGCAACTCCACATACAATTAAAGGATAAATTCATCAAAACAGACTAGAAGCATTGTAGGTAGGCTCCTGCAACCCAACGCCACATGCACTGGGGGAGAGAAAATGGACAGTTTGTCCTTACACAACTGTGGTTTTGAACGGTGGTTTGCAGATTCAGCAAGGAGTTTGCAGTCCAAGAGGTTAATGGAAATGCATGCTTTTAAAACACATCTACAGGCTTGGGCAACTACAACTTCCCATTGAGCCTGTCAAGTGCGAAAGACGTAAAGAGGCAATTAATACCACTCAATCACGTAATCCACATCACACAAGCTATTTGAACAGTATCAAATGGAATGCATTTGTAAGGGTTAATTGCAAGCCCGCGTTCTGTGCAAGTCATGTTCTTTCAAGCAAAGACTGTCAGGACTCTGAGAAAGCAAAGCAGAATTACCTATCCACAACGCAGGAAATCCATGATACTCACATTGCCACTGCTACACACATATAACTGCTTGGTTTTTCCCTGGGAAGGAAAGAAAGCTGGGGTTTTTCAAGGAAAGGACCTAAAACTTTCCCTCTACACCAGTGTAGTACTAAAATCATCAAGAGATCATATAGACTAGAAACATTTAAGCACTGTCTGCTTTTAATGGGGATAGAGTTCATGAAATACACTGAAATCAGCTGTTAAAACATTTAAACTGCTGCAGACTTGTTTCCGAACAGCAGCTTAAAGGATTGATACTAGGAGGAAGCAAAGGGCATTCAGAGCAAACTTTCAACCTGCAGAAAAATGTGGCTGATCATTTTAGAATGTCCAGTATTGGATATGGTGAAATTCAAGTTTTGGCTTTTACAAGTATCCCAGCATTAAGATAAGCAGGATCTGCAGACTTTTATGTAGCCAACCCCAGAAGTACAGTTGCTGCAGCATTATTCTCCTCAGGCAGCCCGAGCAACACATCCTAATGCTGAATCCCACTTCTGATTCTTTCCACTCTCCGGTATCCCTACTGAGGGCCCAAAAGCATACCTTAAAGCTGCTCACATTTTGAAAACAAATGACATATGCACATATATGAAAGAGCCATAGCCTGGTTGTGCACTTAAACATTATTCAGCGACACTGCATCAGGGGTGAAAA